GTCACAGCTATAGGGTTAAACCTCAGACTGACTTGTTGGCAAAGTCACAAACAAGTCCCAGTTTAGAGGGCACAGTCCTCTTAGCATAATTAGGCTTGACCTTATGACACTCCCTAGATCTTACCTGGGTAGCTAATGGGCTGAGGGAAGTGCAGGGAGTGGAAACATGATCAAAACAGGTGAAACTTAGAAGAACTATGTAACTATGGTAACCACTACCTTGTTTACCTCTGACTATAAAAGGTCAGTACGGACTGAGCACCGGTGGAAGTCCTTCCTCTTGAGTTGGACTTACCCTCCTGGCCCCCCAATATTCCCAAATTATCTCTTGTCTTTTCTCTTTCATTTGTGTGTGGCCACTCTTCCAGATCCTGAACCCTGAACCACACGGGATGTGGAGGGAAACATTTACAACAGTATACTATGCAGCAGTAAAAAAGAAGAATCTCTTACCCTTTGAGACAGCATGGAGGGACCTGGAGAGTATTATGCTAAGTGAAATAAGTCAGTCAGAGAAAGACAAGCATCACATGATCTCACCCATACATGGAATCTAACAAAATAAACTGATGAATGGGGTGGATCCAGAGACATGGAAGCATGGAAGCAGGGGAGGGTAGGTGGGTGGGAGGTAATCAACCAAAGACCTTGTATGCATATATGCATGGCCCATGGATACAGACAATGGAGTGGTGAGGTCTTGGGGTGGGGGTACGGCAGGTGACTGGGGGTCAATGAAGGAAAAAAGTAGACATATGTAATACTTCCAACAATAAAGAATTATAGCAAATAAAAAAATTAAAAAATAAAGTCCTCCCTACTCCATAGGCCTGGAGATGTGTAGCAAGGTAAATTCCTTCCTGGTGTGATCTGAGAAGGACTGGAGAACTCTGTCATTCACATGAGCATCTTTCACCTCCATGCACAAGTACAATTGTGTAAGCAACACAATATAAAACAAGGATGTTTCCAGATCTTTGCAAGAAAGAGACAGGCATGAGGAAATTTCATCTAATGTAATCCATTGAACTGAATATTGAAAAAATATTTATTTAGAGCCAACAATAATAAGATATATGTCAAAATTATAATGCATTATGTAAAAAATAAATTTCATGGCACATTTCTTCACCACAAGCACTTTTATCTCAGCCTATACTCTTGTTGAGACCAATGTGATTGCAAGTGAATTTCAACCAAACAGGACTCAGCAATGTCTTTGTCAAATGCTTACTTAAAACTTGGTGGTTACTGAAGCAGCCCTTTGTAAATAACATAAATGAATAGAATAATATTAAGTGATAGCATTATGCTCATTCCCAAAATATCTAAGGTCGTAGAGACTACAAAGTTTAAATCAAGTTAGGCAAAAGGAGTTGGGGTTCAGGGCTGTCTCTAGGTGTGGGAAAGAGGGAAAAGAAGGAGATGACTTGCTTATCAACTCCATCTTTTCCTGAGGAAGAGTGTCATGTGAGAAGCACTTGCCTTTTCTCCTTTGTTTGTAATTCTGTGTACCTTCTAGATCAGTGGTTCTCAACCTTCCTAATGCCGCAACCCTTTAATACAGTTCCTCATGTTGTGGTGACCCCCAACCATAAAATTATTTTCGTTGCTACTTCATAACTGTAATTTTGCTACTGTTATGAATCGTAATGTAAATATCTGATATGCAGGATGTATTTTCATTGTTACAAATTGAACATAACTGAAGCATAGTGATTAATCACAAAAACAATATGTAATTATATGTGTTTTCCAATGGTCTTAGGCGACCCCTGTGAAAGGGTCGTTCGACCCCCAAAGGGGTCACAACCCACAGGTTGAGAACCGCTGTTCTAGATGGTTAATTATTGTTCAGTATCACAGTCAAGAAAGGTTGAGAGATCAGTTGAAACTCAAGTGGTGTTTCTTACTATTAAGAATGTGGAAGTGTAAACTGGTGCCATAATGGAAAACAGTATGAAGATTCCTAAAAAATTTAAAAGTAGAACTGCCATATGATTCAAAAACCCCTCTTCTGGGTATTTAGCAGAAGGAAGTGAAAAGACCAACTCTAAAAGATATCTGTACCCTCATGTTCATTGCAGCATTATTTGCAATAGCCAAGACATAGAAACAACCAATGAATGAAACGATAAAGAAAATGTGATATATACTAGTATTAATATAATATATTAAAAAGTATGAGATCATACCATGTGTGCCAACATGGATGGACCTTGAGGGCATTATGCTAAGTGAAGTAAATCAGACTGATACAGACAAATACCATATGATCTCACTTATATGAGGAATCTAAAAAACAAAACAAACCCGCTCCCCCCCCCCCTAAAAAAAAATAAAATGAAACAAACAAACCAAGTTCATAGATACAGACGCCAGATTGGTGGTTGTCTGAGGTGGGGTGTAGGAGAGGGAGGTGGGAAAAATAAGTAAAGGGGGTCAAAAGGTACAATCTTCCAGTTACAAAATAAAGTCATGGGGATGTAGAGCATAGCAACTATATGAAAAAGACATTTTGGAAGTTACATATCAAGTGCAGTGGGCTCAGTTCCCAGCCAGCATGGGCACTTCCTGGAGGGAGAGCTCTTTGCCACCGTAGATGGTTCTCCAATGCTTTCTGGGATAATGTCAAGGAAGGACTGAAAACACGCAAGTTCTCTTTTCTCTGCTCCATTCTGTTTGGCACTTAGTACTAACTCCATCAGTATGTTCAGAAGATTAAGTGAGCAAGCCAACTTCCTGTGCTAGCATTCTCATTTTATTAGCAGGCTATTATGGCAGAAGGCTGTTCATTTTGGTATTTTTATAGGAAACTGTGAAATAAACAAAAATTCCCCGAATCAAGGAAAAAAATCCTAGCCTTTTCTAATCTCTGCATAATACTAAAATATTTTATTAATTACATGTCTATGTGGGTGCATATGTGTCTTTGTGGGTTTAAAAGTGAGAGGGAGAGGGCCTGAGGTAGGCAATTGTTGACATCCCCCCTCCCCCCCACTTTTGAGCTGGTTACTTTTTTGGTTCAGTTGTTGAAGTTTTATTTAGTTAAGATTACTTTGAGCCACATAACCTTGAATGACTTGATATTAAAAATCAATCCCTAGACTTTCTATCACACATGGGCAAAACATTAAATCAAATCGATGGCACTTGGAAATAAAAATAATTTCTTTCAAAATTGCCCCCTTCTTCCAATATACATAGACTAATCTCCAGTGAGAATAGCATTCTACAAAGTTGCAACATTTAGCCCTGATAATTTCGGAATTATAAAAGAACTTTAAAAACCTTGAACATTTCTTGGGGAGTAAAAAATGTGAATTTGTTTATTCTCTGTTGCACAGTTCAAGAATAGTAAAATCATTCTATAGGACCGTTCCCAAAAAATGAATTTAAATGAAAAAAAATGTTAGTTCTCAAGCTGAGGCTAAGCCTAAAACACCAACTTGTGATAAATTGTCAGCCGCAAAGAGGGCAGTCTCTTAAATCCATCACTTTTCAACCACAGCTCCATCTAGATAATTAGCCCACGTGGTAACAGCCTGTCCTTTGAACACAGGCAAAGCATTGAAAGCAACCAAACCACAGCTATCTTGGTATTGGAAGTTCCATTTCTTTAAGGGGTGGAATTTACTTTGAGGGAGAGAGAGATGGATGTGCTGTCTGGGAGGAAAAATCGTAAGGTTTTCACAGTTAATTTACTGAACATTTTTCAGAGAAAATGGAAGTTGGAGAAAGGAAAAGACAATGAATTATGTAATAAATGCCAGTTCTTGGGGCTATCTAAGTTAAGGAGGCTGGGAGTGTGGAGAAACTCTTCTTTTTATGAGCAAAACTCACCACAAGACACAAAGAATTTATAAAAACATGTAATTCCACTGATAAACACGTTTCGCAAAGGTTATTTCTTAGGATTTAGAGTGTGAATAGGAAATTGAATTGGAGACAAAAGAGTTAGGTGTAGTCACTTCTCTGTGACGATATCCTTGTGTACCTTTCAGTATCTTTTCTTCCTATAAAATGAAAGAATTAGATGGAGACGGGGAGCCCAAACACCTGGAGGAAACAGGGAGATGAGAGAGTGAGTGGAGTTGACCGGCCTGAGTTTGTGGTGAACCAAGGAGCATTTGCCCTATCCTGTGGGGCAGTTGTTGAACCCCTCATTTGTATGTCTTGTTTGGGCAGGTCTCTCAATTTTTCAAGAGAAACCATAAAGCCAGGACATTTTGTGAAATCTCTTCATTTGAAATTTTAGTTCATTTAAAACAACAACAACATTGTCTGCTAGGTATTTTTTTAAAAAATATCAATTCAGTGAGCAGTATCTATGCTGTAGGCTGCTGGGTGTCTTTGTACCAGATGGTTTCTAACTTCTCTCTTGTTTATACCCTTATTTGCATAAACTTCTAACTCCTGGCAATGTTTCTTTCCACCATGTCAGTTGGTTAGTTTAATGACTAAATTCAACAATCTCATATTGAATTTTTAGGCAATACTATATTAGTAGCTAAGTGAAACAAGGACCTACTCTCAATACAAAAAATATTTTCATTGATTTCAGAGAGGGAAAGAAAGGGATAAAGAGACAGAAACATCAATGATGAGAAAGAATTATTGACTGGTTGCCTCCTACACACCCCACACTGGGAATTGAGCCCACAACCCATGTATGTGCCCTTAATGAGAAGAGAATTGAACTGTGACCTCCTGGTTCATAGTTTGATGCTCAACCAGAGACACGCTGGCCGGGCTAGCTCTGTGATCTGTAGCAAATTACTAAACCTCTCTGTGCCTCCATTTCCTTACGATAAATTGGAGATGATGATAACATTATCTGACTTATGAAGTCATTGAGGAGATTAAGGGAATTAATACAAGTGAAATGCTTAGAAAAGTGTCTAGATATAGTAAGTACTCTGTGTTAGCTATTACTTAAAGGAGGAGGACAAAGAAGAGGATGACAAGGAAGAGGGGAAGTAGTAGTGGAGGGGATTATGAGCACATAGTCCACAACATTTTACATTATTGTAGTCCTATTTTTGAAGAAGGTGATTGCAGGTGATTTTTGTCTTCACTCTGCTCCAGACCTATTATGAAAATTAGGCTGGCCAATTGCCCCTTTGGCTGAAATTTCAAAGAAAGGTGAGGTAAAGATAAGTGGTAATAAGTGGGTAATAAATATTTTGTCTGTGTCCCTGCCTCTCAGTGCAGCCTGTTTACCTGCTTATCATATGCAAGCTTCTGCCTTCCCTTCTCTCAGTGAACTGGCCACTCAGTAGCCTGTTTTTGTATTTACTACAAAGGGTTTTGGCTTTGACATTCACAGAACCAAAGATGTTTCTGGAAGGTGATAGCAGCAGGCTGGCCTTGTGGAAGTAGTTACAGAACTTAGGCCATTTAAATTTAATTTAAATTAAGTATTTAAATTTTTCTGCTGTGAACTTTTAGGTCAGAAAAGTAATCAGCTTACAATCACCGTCTTTTATCTGCTTGATCGTTCTTTGCTATTTTTGGAGACTTAAATAGTAATAATAATATCGTATAGTTAATACTTTAGTATTTATCATGTTCTAAGACTCATGTCTGAAAGATTCACATCCCCTCCTATCATAGACCCTTGCATAAAAACTACCTTGAGTTTTGTATTAAAAAACAACACAGACTCAATTCAATATGTGCTGCTTTTGTAGTTAGTGAAAGTAGTAACCTCAAACCCAAAACACCACATAAATCCAAACCGTATTTAGCCGCAAGTGTATATATTTAAATAGAAAACATTAGTTCCCCTCCTCACCCAAATGAAACGAATTGGTAATATATTTTATTTTGAACAAAGAATTTTGGTCATAAATTCTGGGAGCTGGTTATGAGGTGGGAAGCTCCATAGAAGAGTTTTCTCAAGTGTCAGGAGAGCTAGGACCAGACCTTTATCTTTGGGAAATTCTCTTTGCACCTAGTTTGTAACTGTGTACAAGGTAGGCTTTATGCTGTGAAACAAATATACGAGTGGCACCATCATATTTCCCTTCTGTCCCCTCCCCCATTTTTCAAATGTTAAAATAAGATATTGGATGGTGCAAAGGGGAGAGAGCATCACGTTTTCCGAACACTGAATCAGTGCTACTCTTATGTCTACTATTTTCATTCTCATTCTCCTGATTTTGTGTCCTGGTGTCTTTTGCCAGCTCACAAGAATGGAAAAACCTACATAATAGCCAATTCTTCCGTAAAGATTAATACAAAGTGTTCTTTTTTATTATAAAAAAATCTTGTAAAAACAGAGAAGGGTTGGTTGAAAGCAAAATAATCTTGAGGTAATAATTTTCATTCATCGTAGGATATTTTAAGTCTCTGTAAGGTCTCACTTAGGTTTGGCTTAGATGAATGACAGGATCATGAAGACATTTTTTCTCAATCCCCAGTCTTTGTTTTTTATTTTTGACACTATTACAGATGTCTCTATTTTTCCCTCCCTTGCCTGCCTGCACCCAGCCCCCTTCTCAATCCCCAGCCTTAATATTCAATTTAGGACTTTAGACCTCAAGTGAAAATCTCTGAAGTTGCCTTCCTCTATAAAAGTAATCTCTGAGACGCCAGTTCCTTGTTTGTAAAACTGAATATATTGATATAAATGATCCCTAATATTACTTTCAAGTCTAAACACTCACTGTGCTTGGCTCTCCCCAGACAAGTCCTCCGCCCA